AATTACTATAGGCAACTTTAGGACCACAACTTATCCATACCACTTGTCTCCCTTTCCCTTCGTACAAAAGTAGGCCATCATCCCCCAAAATCCGATTGATTTTTATATCTTCCTGTTGATAGCGAGTTAGCAAGGCGTAAACCGGGAAGGGACGACCTCAAAACCCGGACCGAATCCTAGTTAATTATGCAAGTGCCGAGATGAACGTTTAAGACAACCGCGGCCGCTGAATTATGTCATTATCGAGCTCGGCATCTCTACTAACTAATGGAGGGCGCCGGCCTCTTCAGCTGCCGAACTGAATAAATGATTCCCGAAGGCCAGGTGATGCAGCGCACCCACATCGGGTTTGAAAGGAAACGAAGCAGACCTTATATGAGGATGTGGATACCTTCACTAGTAAGACGCGTTTTGGTGGGTGTGTATTGAAGCTCAGCCAAGAACAAAGCCGTGCGGGTGGCAGAAGTAGCCCAAAGCAGACAATATCTTACTAGGGTCTGCATCAGTTGGTATCAGAGCCAGCCCATGTGCCAGCGGTGACCGCTGGGCCCCCAAGGGGGGGTGGATGATGCAGCGCATCCCACATCGGGTTTGAAAGGAAACGAAGCAGACCTTATATGAGGATGTGGATACCTTCACTAGTAAGACGCGTTTTGGTGGGTGTGTATTGAAGCTCAGCCAAGAACAAAGCCGTGCGGGTGGCGGAAGTAGCCCAAAGCGGACAATATCTTACTAGGGTCTGCATCACCAGGGGAAGATTAAATGTTCAAGTGCCGACCTGGGGGCTCGGGATGACCGACCTGAAGACAAGAGCGGGGCTTGATAATGATGTTATAATGCCACTTGGAAGCTGATGATTATCGATTGGACATGCCGCCATAGTCTGCCACCCTATGGCATCTAGCCCGACAAAAGTCTGTCATCATTAAATGTCCACCATGTGTGCATTAAATGCCTGACAGGTAATGATTAAGAAAACTTCAAATCGCATTAATTAACTGTCAGACGACGCCGACCTGACCAGCAGGAATACTTTGTGACAAGACCGGTGAACAATGCCTGAACAGTGTCATACCTGGGAATACTTTAAATAGAAGACCCAGTTCATTTATTAGGGTTGTTGAATCTCTCAATTACTACTTTCCCTCTTTAGAATCCTTTATTAGGGTTGTTGAATCTCTCAATTACTACTTTTTCTCTTTAGAATCCTGTAATAAATTCCTATAATATCTCTCAAAGTACAAGAGAAGTGTCGACCTCACTATCAGAGGCCGACCTCGTAATTACTTAATAAAATTCAATTAAACTGTATTTCTTTCCTGTTTTCTATTCCTTACATTTTAATCTACTTCAACCGTTGATCGGATTCGTCCATCAACACATCAAAAAAATAGTTTTGTTATAATCAATAAATACATATATTAATCAATTAAGTCGGTATAAATTGTGCTTCTATAAGTTGAAAGCAAACAAAGTCCATCCATCACATGCATTTTAAGTTTTTTACGTAATACAAATTTGCTAATTAGGTTGACTAATTATAGAGACATTCATATTTATATTATGAAATGTCAAAATTTAGTTTATGTTATTTTTTAATGTACGAGGATTTGAGTATGAAAATATTGAATACAAAATGCTACAATTAATCTGTCTAAACGTTAGATAGTCGTATTTTCTGCATACTTATCCAATGAATGTCATACTTTGTTTATATTGTACTTTGACAGTATAATATTTGACTGTAAAAGTATTTACATATATATTGAAAGAGTACTGCCAATACAATAAAGTATGAAAATAGCTACAAAAATACTACCAACGGAAAATTTTTGTTGGTAAATAGCGAAATATTACGTGTATGTATTTAAAAATCTGGTCAATGAAATATTAAATTATCAACATTTTTTTTTATAAAAAAAAACAAAGAATTATAGTCAAATATTTGTATGCAATAAGTCTAACTATTAGACAACCTGATAGAAAAATAATCAAATACATAAAAGTGTGGTTGTCTAACAATTGGACAACGTCCAACAACATTTTTTTTTTAAAAAAAAAATAAAACATAGACAAATGTATAAACAAGTATATGTAGCATGGTTAAAAGTAAAAGAAGAAAAAAAAAAGTCCTTGTGGTCCTACTCGGCTCGATTCCGAATTAGTCGGTTCCCCTGTGGATCTGAAAACCGGAAGGTCCCTGTACCAAAAAAAAAAAGAAAAAAAAAATGTAATTGTATATGACTTGCTTGTTTAGTAACATATCAATTTCTTACTGGGTTTTTAGTCTTTTCCTTTTTTTTTAATTAACAAGGATAAAATTTGGAAAATTTTTTATATAATTAGTTCTTAGTTGGATTTTAAATATGTATTAAAATAACATATATTTAAAACAAAATGATTAAAGCTGATTTGATGTAAAAGTAACAAAAAGTGATAGGTAGTTAAAATTATGCGAACGGATAAATAGTGAATTAAAGTTGATGTGATGCGTAAGAATAATTGATTGATATATTGTTTAATTATATTAATACTATTGAAGATAATAGAGTATAATAATTAAAATTACATCAAATTTTGAGTATGAAGTAAATGCGAGTGTGGAATAATTTGTAAACGAACACACTCAATTTCTTATTATCATAGAACTTGTGATACTTGGGATGTATTTACCCAAAGAAGTAATGCTCACCTACTCACGGTAGGCATACGTTAATATGGCCACCGCTTATGAGTACACACTACACATGCACATGGAGTCGGGCCAACTTTCCAAATCTAGAGCATGGCCTCGTAGCTTACACGGCAAGCTCTTGTCTGCTCCTGTCTTTGTACTTACAGCACAGTGCATGCGTTAATTGCCCCAATTGTTCGTCTAGTCCTATTTCACTTTTCACCCATTTCTTTCTTTCTTTCTTTTTTTTTTTTTAAGACGTTCCGTATTTACTATTTATGGAATGTTATTGTCTATGGCAGTTGCCAGTTCAAAGACATTGATACTAAAGACTTTGTAGTACTTGCGTTTTTTTTATGATTTTATCAGAGATTATTTGTAGTTGCTTACTACGTACTCGAAAAAATTTTGATATATTTAGTCTGCACCACCATGCTTTGCTACTTGACAATTGATCTCATGGTACAAATACAATGTTCATAATTTTAAGTTGAGATTTTTGGTCCATAAACTGAGGGAAAAGAAAAGAAAAAAAATGATTATTCTCTAGTGAGATTGGAAATATTTTTCAGTACATTATTTATCATTGATAGAAAAAAAAAAAAAACTTATATCAAGCTATCTAACGATTATACAATTATACTTTTTCAAGGAATATATGCATATCACGGAAAATATGACTGTCAACGCTTAAATTTACATTTGATATTGGTAACTAAGGGAAAATAAAAGATCTACGAAGATAATAGTTTTATTACACTTCCCCGTGAGGTCGGCCTTTCGGTGGTAGGTCGACTTCTCACTTGTACTTGAATAATTACAATGTTTAAATACAAAATAAATGCAGAGAGAGAAAGAGTTGACAGATTTTCCACAACCCTTAATAAATGACTGTGGTTTCCTATTTATAGTAACACAAGTATGGTACTATTCATGCACTGTTCACCCTGTCACTTCATACAACAACAAGGAATGACAGGTTGACGTCGTTCCGACGAGCATTAAATGAGGTCTGAGGTTAGTCCAGTGATTATTTGTCAGGCATTAATGCGCATATGTGAGGACATTTAATGCTGACAAGCAACCCTGCAAACCTAGGTGTATTAGGGTGACAATTTAGGGTGACGTGTCCTATCAGCAATCATCACTTGAAAAGTGAAAATATTTTTATAGTTTCCAGGTCCTGTGTGCATGTTGGGGGTATCTTCAGGTCGGACTTTCACCGTAACTTGGGATATCTTCATCTTCTGATCTCCAGGGCCTTTTTCCTTAATAATGCACTCATGGAGGTCGACCTCGTCCTTTGGGTGTCAAGACGCCGGCTTGAGAATGCGGTCTACGCATCGTTCCTGACAACTTTATCTTCCATCGAGTCCGAACTTCCTGCTTTTAAAATGCCGATCTGGTTTCAGGGTCGTCTCCACTCGAATTATTGTTCCTAGTCTGTGTACCTTGCTCTCTTTTCTTCACTCACATATTTCCATATAATTTTTAAACTAAAAATACATCATTTACGCACTTATATATACATTATTATTATACTTATCTATTTACATATTTACAACAATTATCAATCATTCTTTGATCATTTCCTATCATGTTATATTAAGATAATATACATTATATCATATCATTTCATATTAAAACTATCATTAATTAATTCACTAATTTTTTTTCACCAACAAAAAAAAAATAAAGTATATTTGTGGCAGCAAAAAATGGGATGGTGGAAATTGGAGAATCAGGAAAATTAACTGTAACTACAGTTAAGGGTTAAAACCATGATTGCTATATAGTACAAAGCTCAGAGTATTTCAGTGTGCAAATACATGACACAGGCACAGACAGAGAATCCCATCAGATCAGATAATAAATTTAAAACTAAATAAAATCAAACAGCTTTTAATGAACAGCTTGGTTCATTAATTCTTCATCTCTAAAAATGATTCACATGTGTAGCTTCTTTAATTTCACCATCTTTCCTTTTTCCTATTTACATTTTTTTTTTTAAATAAATTATTTCTGATATAGGTAAAAAAAAAAACAAATAATCCACCATAAAATTGAGCAGCAATTAAAAGCTTCTGATAATTATTTTCTCTTATCCTCTACAGTCACATGTCCCTTCCGGGACATCCGATAAAATTGGAACGATACATGCAAGATTAACATGGCCCATGTGCAAGGATGACACATATAAGTCGAGAAATGATCCTCTACAGTCACACACCTTGCATAAATAGAGATCGAACTTGCAGGTTATACCTATACATTGCATCTAAATTAGCCCCAAATTTTAAACCTAAAAATGACAAATCTCTACAACTTAATTAATAATAAGCTTCAGATTAGTTTGGTTGCCTTCAGCTCTACTGGGGTTCCATTCATAGCGCCCTTCTAACGGCTCGTCCTTCGCTATATCATAGTTGTACCTTCATCGTATGTACTTAATAACTTCAGTAAAATTAAAACTATTTATTAATTAGGTAATTAAATTGGCAAAAAATAAAAATAAAAAAATATTTAGGGAGAGAGAGATTGAAAGAGAGAAATTAAGCTGAATTACTTCTGGATGAATTGTTGCCGGATATTCTGCTCGGCCGCGGAAAAGAATTCGTCGAGCTCGGCCTCTGTCGGAATTATCTCCGCCGTGGGAATACCCACGGAATCAGACGCATGGGGCGGCGACTCCAGCTCGCCCGACTCGGTTTGAGCCTCACGCGGCGGCGGATTCTCTCTCCTGCAGAAATAATACGGCGGCGTATCAACTTCCCTTCGCCGTGAATGATAAATAATTGATATATTTAATTATTATTTAAATATATATTATTCTATTAGATTCTACCTGTCTCTGAACTCCGCCGTATGCTCAGATGATGTCGCGCAAAACTTCACAACCACGGCATTTTTCTGGGGATTCAAAAAAATTCAAACTCTTATAAATGCGCATTAAATTAATGATGTTTACCCAATAATTTTCATTTAAATAATTCTGGAATAATCAGTTAATTATTTTGTGTGCGTACCTCCAGATCTGCAAACTCCGGGCTCATGTCGGCCGGCTCGCTCAATCCGCTGCTCGAGCAGCATGAGGCTAAAGCGCTGCCGGAGATATCAACGTTCTCGCAGCTCGAGTCACACGAATTCGCCGGCGCGTCTGAGCGACGCGTTTTGAGCTCCGCGGAGGATGTCGATTCCTCCGATCCTCCTGATGCCGTTTTCCTCCTCCTTTTGGCCGCCGCCGCCACCTCTCCTGATCCGTCGCGCTTCCTCGCGTACCTTCCCATGTGCGTACTGATTTTCCCGATATACGGTAAGATTCTTATGAATTTACGAAGAGAAATTGGAGATCGATTTTTAAGATGCGTATTTTTTTTTTTTTTTTCCTTTGATTTTTTGTTTTTCTACGTACAGATATGGTGGTGGTGGTGGTGGTGATGACTCGGAGAATTATCAGCTTTTTCAACTGCGCTTTTATCTGTGACAGAAGATTTTCTAAAGAGAGAGAACTTTGGTGCGTGTGTGTGAGAGAGAGAGGGGTGACAGTGAGTGATAGTGATGATGATAATTGATGATCAAGGAGATTGCTGTTGTTGTATAGTATAATAGGGAAATGATATACGGTCCCGTTACGGAACCATTCTGTTGAGATTTGTAATCGTTAAATTATTATATAATCATCGGAGATAGTTGATTTAACTGTTACAAACTCCGACAGAATAGTTCCGTAACAACATCGCAGCACCTTCCCGTATAATAATTAGTCCTCTCTTGAATGCCACTGACGATGTGATTGTGGGAGCGTTAATTGATACGAAAGAGACGATAGAAACTGTGGAAAAGATCATCTCAATCGGATGATTCAATATTCTATTAACCATGAATATATATACACAAAATTAGGGCTACAGTTACCTAAATAGAACCTAAGGCTAATATAGCAATTACACAAATATACACAATAACATTAATGAATCTGAGGAAATATATCAAATTTTCCGTTAAAATGCGACGAAATTATTCAAAACTCCGTTAGATGGAAACGGATAGCGGCTTGAACCGGATTCCGGGTCGATAGGGCACCCGCCAAATCAACGGTTGCCGCGTGTATTGCGTCATCTATTACAGAATTTATGATTGGAGTTTTTTTTACTTTGTTTCTTGGTGAATCGGATGTAAGACCACCTTTATCTGTGACCCTCTCAAATGAGTCACGAAATTAAAACAAAAAAAAAAAAAAAANNNNAAAAAAAAAAAAAAAAGAAAAGGTCACCATAAGCGGCAACATAAGAGTCTCTCCAACGCTGCGCCATATTTGGCTTATTGCCTTGGAGTAGCGTGAAAATGTCCTCCAGTGTTGCGCTAGACTTTTACGCTAGAAAGGAGTTGTGAACAGTGTTGCGCCTTTCTTTTTTTTTTTGTTTATTTTCTATTTTTTTGTGTATTATTATTGGTAAATTTTTGTATAATGTGTATTAGTAAATGTATTTTTTATTGTAAATAATTTGTGCAATTTATTTTTTATGCTAAATCATTTTGTGTTTTTTATTTATTGATGTATTATAAATTTTTTTGTAATTTTTTAATATTAAAATGATACCATATGAATAAAAAATTAACACACTCAAACAAGTTTATTTCATTAAAATTAAAGTTTACAACACACATAAATCATAGAACATAAATAAAAACAACATGATTAAAAATGACTTAACACACAAATAAAAACAACATGATTAAAGATGATTATCTAAAGCATATGATTTAGTGCATATTTACAGTCTAGACCGTATATGGTTTAGGGTATATATTTACAGTCTAGATTTTCTTAGTGAAAATATGCCCTAAACCATATACGGTCTAGACCATATATGCCCTAAATTATTTTCCAAAATGTGAATATATGCCATATTACATTTTTATTATTTGAGTAATTAACATTTTATATAAGATTAAATATACATATATACCAATTTATTTGAAATAAAAAATAAATAAAAAAATAATATATTTAATGTAGAGTAAAATGTAGAGATAAGGGCTGAGGCCATCTCCAGCCCTTATCTCTACTCTAGCGCAGACTTTACTCTATTCTAGAGTAGAGTTGAACATTCATCTCCAGCCCTTATCTCTACATTTTACTCTACATTAAATATATTATTTTTTATTCTTTTTTTATTTCAAATAAATTGGTATATATGTATATTTAATCTTATATAAAATGTTAATTACTCAAATAATAAAAATATATTTTATTTATTTTTATTTAACATAATTTGTTATTTATGAATATGTAATGTTATATAAATGTTTATTACCCAAATAGTAATTAGAAAAATTATGTATAACAACACGAGATGCTTCATAAATTCAAACAAATGGATACAAATTACATAATACAATGAAAATAAAAAGCATTACAAACAACAATTACAATAACATTACAACTAATTTTCTGAATTAGAAAATTCCTTCCATAAATGCTCAATCAATGCATTACGAAGGGCGATATGAGCTTCTCTATCTCGAATTTGTCTGTATCGAGCAACAAATGCTTGGAACTGAGAAGCTTCATTACCAACCGTTTCAACATCAGGGATTGGGGCTTCTATCCCAGCTTCAATCGGTGCAGAAAGATCTCGTTCATCCTCAATTATCATATTATGCAAAATAATACATGCAATCATTATATCTTGTAAGTCATTTTTACTCCAAAATCGTGCAGGATTAGCAACAATAGCAAATCGACTTTGGAGTACTCCAAATGCACGCTCCACATCCTTTCTGCATGCTTCTTGTTTCATTGCAAAATATTTTTTTTTTGACTCCGTGGGTCACGAATAGTTTGGACAAGAGTTGCCCATTTGGGATATATATTATCTGCTAAATAATACCCCATGTTGTACTCTTTACCTTGAATGACATAATGTGCAGGAGGGGCAATTCCTCGAGTAAGGTCAGAAAACAAATGAGACCTCTCTAACACATTAATATCATTGTTGGATCCAGGCATACCAAAGTATGCATGCCATATCCAAAGGTCATAATCAGCTATAATTTCTAGAATAATAGTTGGAGATTTACTACGTCCTGTATATGCACCTGCCCAAGCTGTTGGACAATTTTTCCAACGCCAATGCATACAATCCAGACTACCTAACATTCCTGGAAAGCCACGTTGCTTACCGATATAAAGGAGTCTTGCAATGTCATTGGCGTTGGGAGAACGTAGATATTGCTCTCTGAATATCTCTACAACAGCACGACAAAATTTCTTCACGCATTCAATTGCGGTGGACTCTCCAATATTTATGTATTCATCTGTCGCATCTGCTGGTACAGCGTATGCTATTATCTGAAGCGCAGCAGTTAACTTTTGATAGGTAGACAATCCGAGTCTACCAACTGCATCCCTTTGCTGCAAAAAATAATCATCATGACTTTTAACTGCATTTGCTATACGGAAAAATAAATTTCTAGACATCCGAAAACGTCTACGAAACATGGCTTCATTAAATTTTGGGTTTTCAGAAAAATAATCGTTATAAAGACGATTTGCAGCTGCTTCTCGATCGCGAAATATCGTTTTTCGACCAGGAACTGAACCTCCATGGCTTTGACCGCCTTGTTGAGTTCTAAGAAATTCTTGCACAAGAAAATTATTGTTGTAAATTTGTTGTGCTATCAGAGTTTCCTCTGTATCATAACTATCTAGCAATTGTTCAAGTTCATCATCAGATGAACTTGAAGAAGAAAATGCATAAGAAGTACCAATGTGATTGGGATTCATATTTTTTTGGAAAATGCAAGAGTTTACGAATGAATAATTTCTGTGAAGATCTACGTATAAATAGTGATATAGAAATCTACAACTCTTAATCTGAGCCGTTTAATCTTGATTTTCATAGATAAGAATCCTACGGTTGAAATGTGGATAAGAAAATCTATACCTTTTAATCTTAGCCATTAAATCTTTAGATAAGAATCCTACGGTTGAGATGTGGATAAGAAAATCTGCACCTTTAAATCTTAGCCGTTAAATTTTTAGATAAGAATCCTACGGTTGAGATGTAGATAAAAAAAATGATTGGAAAATGATTGTAATAGGGCATATATTCACATTTTGGAAAATGATTTAGGGCATATATGGTCTAGACCATATATGGTTTAGTGCATATATTTACAGTCTAGATTTTCTTAGTGAATATATGCCCTAAACCATATATGGTATAGACTGTAAATATACACTAAATCATATATTTTAGATAAGAATCCTACGGTTGAGATGTTGATAAGAAAATCTACACCTTTAAATCTTAGCCGTTAAATCTTAGCTAAGAATCCTACGGTTGAGGTGTGGATAAGAAAATGATTGGAAAAATGATTGTAATAGGGCATATATTCACATTTTGGAAAATGATTTAGGGCATATATGGTCTAGACCATATATGGTTTAGTGCATATATTTACAGTCTAGATTTTCTTAAGCCGCAGTCAATAAAATATTTGTAAATTTATTGTTTGAACTTGAAAAATGACTAATAATATACCTATTAGGAGTTTAGTATCTTTATAATGCCTTATATGACGAATGCACGATCGTTAAAGGTGGATTTGGTCGAAAAACAACCATAACGAATATCAACTCGTTATTTCAATGTTATAACGAAAAGATATTCGTTATGATTGTTTTTCGACCAAATCGCGCTTTATTTATGGTTTTTTCGATCGATTTACTTGATAACGCATGTATATTGATGAAAAATGTCATTTAAACGATAGTATGAAGTTGTTAGATCGTCAAAACCTTCATCACAAAATTATGAAATAACGAGTTTATATTCGTTATGGTTGTTTTTCGACCAAATCCACCTTTAACGATCGTGCATTCGTCATATAGGAATTATAAAGATACTAAACTCCTAATAGTCATTTTAATATAACAACTTCATACTATCGTTCCAATGACATTTTTCATTAATATACATGCGTTATCAAGTAAATCGATCGAAAAAACCATAAATAAAGCGCGATTTGGTGAATATATGCCCTAAACCATATATGGTCTAGACTGTAAATATGCACTAAATCATATATCTTAGATAAGAATCCTACGATTGAGATGTAGATAAGAAAATCTACACCTTTAAATCTTTGCCGTTAAATATTTAGATAAGAATCCTACGTTTGAGATGTAGATAAGCAAAACTGCACCTTTAAATCTGAGCCATTAAATTTTTAGATAAGAATCCTACGGTTGAGATGTAGATAAGAAAATCTGCACCTT